TTTCAGTGCATGTTGGAATCCGGCAGGACTGAGAAGAGTCCTTACCCCAGGTAGAGGAGTTTAAGTAGTTTAAGGGTGGCAGGGCACACTCTAATGGATAGGGTGAGGAGCTCTGACACTCGGGAGGAGCTCGGAGTAGAACCGCTGCTCCTTCACATCGAGAGAAGTCAGCTGAGGTGGCTCGGACATCTGTTTCGGATGCCTCCTGAACGCCTACCTAGGGAGGTGTTCCAGGCATGTCCCACCGGTAGGAGGCCTTGGGGAAGACTTAGGACTCGCTGGAGGGGCTATGTCTCTCGGCTGGCCTGGGAATGCCTCAGGATCCCCCCGGAGGAGCTGGAGGAAGTGTCTGGGAGAGGGAAGTCTGGGGTTCTCTCCTAAGACTGCTGCCCCCGCGACCTGGCCCCGGAAAAAAGGCAGAAAATGAATGAATGAACAAATACTGTAATAAATGTATTGTTCATTGTCTGTTCACATCAGTAAATGCATTAACTAATATAAACTAATACAACACTGTTTTGTTTTTACAAATTTAATTTGATTAAACATAAAACAATGAAGTTGTCCCCCAAAAATTAAGAATTGTGTTGTTTTAGCTCATTTTAAATAAGTAGAGCATGCAACAAAGATCATTTTTTTGAGTTTATGGTCAGACAAAAAAAAAAAAAGTGCAACGTTGAGCAAAACCTCCTCTCACTTTTTTTGGCTCATGTGGGACGGTCTATTTGTACATCCTTAAACAAATTAGAGGAGCAGCTGTGCAACTCCGGCCTATCCTATGCTGGCGTTGTGCGATTAAAAATATGCTCTGGTAAAAGCCAGCCTCTCTTCTCCCAAAATATACGGCTGTTTCTCTGGCTCTGAGCTCCTCACCGTATTTACAATCAGCCTTCCCTTCACTTAGACCCTAGAGAGAGGAAGAAAAAAGCAGGACGAAAAAGACCACCAATGCAGATGTTTTCCAGACGTGGAACATGCCGGGTGCCAAGACGCACCTGTTGAATTGCAGATGTGTGTGTCTGTGTGTTTTTTCATTTCCTCAGATATAATTGAGCAACTCGCACACAAAAAGCAGGGTGTATAAACATCACATGCGTAAAGGAAATAGCCTCAGACGTGGTTTACGAAAAGTTCGTAGACGATATGCGTTGATGCGATTCCAGCCGAGCTGTGTTTAGTGCACGCACATGTCGAGAGGTGACACGAAGTGGCGTGACGCTTTTCATGCTGCGTTTATGACACAGCTGTGTGAATCAACCTCGTAGGGCGTCAACTGAGGTGTTTCCCAAACTTTCCTCAACTTTTCCAGATTTACAGCACGCTCTCTCTCTTTCTAGCTTCTCCGAAAAGCACACTGTAAATCTCGGACTATAGTTAATACAACTTGTATATTTTGCTCAAAGTATACTGTAAAAATATCTTTCCTTGATTTGTGGATCATGTTTATTTTTACATTTTTTCACTTATTTTTGCTTTTGAATTGGGTTATGGGACTTTGATATTTTAATGTTAAAAAGTTGAAAAAAGTCACTGTTATTAACATTTTTAATAATTTAAAGTGATATATTGTCTGGGTTGCTGTTGTAAATGACACTAAATAAACCGCCAGTACATTTTCTGTTATTTTACAGAATTATTTGTATTTTTCTCTGTTTATTGCAACCCAGGCTTATTCTAATTACGTACCCCTATAAACATTTCTGGAGAGCGCCAAATACATCACAGGGTGTGTATTTTTTTAAATTAATTTATTTATTTTTTTACAATTTTTGTTGTCACGAATCCACCAGAGACTGCTGTGTACACTTTTTGAGATCTCTGATATCTCTCGCGAAAGCCATTCGTGCCTGTTGTTCTCTCATAAATCCTCTAGAGGTCGTTGTTGACTGACTGACTGACCAATTGATGGATTCCCCCACCAACCCCCATCTCTGAACCCAACCAATAGTGTTTTTAAAAGCACCAATCGACCAGTACCCATCTACTTCTCTAAACCCAACCGACAGTGTTTTCAAAAGCTATCTAGAAAAAGAAAAGCCCTCGCGGCAGTCAGATTTTTTTTTATACCCTGTTTACAGATTTTCCCACATACTTAACCTGTTATTTACTTGTTTATTTTTTTGTTTGCTTTTTTTTCACTGGACTTGAACCCCGTCGCCACTGGACAAATTGGTAACAGCGGAAAAGTCCTCCATACTGAAGTAAGCTGGTAAGCGTGTAAAGGAACGACGTCATACAGCCATACGTACTTTTGGCTACATAATTTGTAATCTCCACAAATTTATATAGAGCTACATTTTTAGCATCTAGCATTTCAGCCTCTTTTGAATTATTGTATTATTACCCCTTGATTTTTCATCCAACAACTTTTAATATTGAGTAGTTCAAAAAAGGGAGTTTTATTTATATTTTTAATATTTTGAAGTGATATATTGTATTACAGAAACCTTAGAACGTTTAGAACTACAGAAACTACCAGTACGCTTTCTGTTATGTTATTTCTCCATATACTAGTTCTTATACATTATATTATTTCAAACTACTGTATAAGTCACTATGTTTAACTGTAGAGTTGAATTTTCAACATCAAAAGTCAATAGAGCAGAGATTAAAGTCCCATAATGCAATTCACAACCGTAAATGAACTGAAAACACTTGTGAATCACAAAATATAGAAGATATTTTTTTACATTGTTCATCCATTTCTAAGTATTACTCATAGTTTTCTGATTGCTCTTAGAATTTATACCTGTATCCAGCACTTGCTGCTATTGCACATCTGGTTAGACTTAAACTGCATTTTGTTGCCTTGTACATGTGTAATGACAGTAAAGTTAAATTTAATCTAATCTAAAAATTTAGCAGTTTTATGTATTGTGTGATTCATGTTTATATATTGTGTTGTCCTCTGTTGAAACCCAGGCTCATTCTGATTACATAGCCCTATATACATTTCTGGAGAGTGCCAAATACATCCCAGGAGCTACTTTTTTTTATTTTTACGTTTTTGTTTTTGTGAATCCACCAGAGGCTGCTGTATACGCTATTTGAGATCTTAAATTTCTTCCTTGAGTGCCATTTGCACATGCTGTTCTCGCGTGAATCTACCAGAAGCCGCTGTCGACTGACCGATCAATTGATTGACTGACCAGCCGACCAATCCCCTCATTCACCCCCTTTCCTAAACCCAACCGATAGTGTTTTAAAAAGCACCGATTGACCAGCGCCCTCCCACTTCCCTAAACCCAACCGACAGTGTTTTCAGAAGCAATCCAGAAAAAAAAAAAAGCTTTTGTGGCCGCCTGATTTCACCTTGTTTTCAGATTTTTCCACATGCCTACCCTTTTATTTACTTGTTTATTTTATTTTATTTTTTGGCTTTTGTTTTTGTCTTACCTGCTTTCTGGAATCGTTCTTTATCGGACTTGAACCACGTCATCACAGTAAACTCCGCTCTGTATCATGTCCACTGATGTACGCTGCAAGCCACTGGACAAACTGATAACAGCGGTAAAACCGTACAAACAGAGTCAAGCGGTCAACTGGTAAGCACAAAAAAAAGAAGTGTCAAACCACCCCGTAGCGTTCTAAAAGACGAAATGCAACTATATGTACTTCTTGCTACATAATTCGCGATCTCCAGAAGTATATATAGGGCACATATTAAGTAGACTACTAATACTCAAATGGACCATCAAAATAAAGTATAACCAACTTTTAACATTTTATTTAAAAATGAATATTAAATACTTTCCTTACAGTAACATTTGCTTAAATGTTCTCCATTTATTTACTGCTAAGGATACCTAACCTCTATTTTCTATGATTAAATTATTAGTATTATTGTACTATTAAATGTATTTAATTATAATAATTAAGTAAATAGTTTGATAGGGCAAGTGAAAATCTTTTTTATTTAAAAAAAATAATTTGCATTTAGCCCTTTATAAGTCAAAAATTTCACTCATTATGGTATTAAAAATGTCTTTAAAAGTCTTAAAGTTAACTTGGTTAAACCTGGAAGAGATCTTGTATCTCAGTGGTACTAAGCTGGTAAAATAAAAGACGAATAAATTATATAAAAAAAACAGAATTTAAGTATATACTGGAATAATAACTACAAAATATAAGACACATTTGGAGCCTAGTGTTGCTAAATGTTTCTTCAATTTATATATATATATATATGATATATATATATATATATATATATATATATATGTATGTATGTATGTATATACTGTATACACACAAACACACAATTTTAAGCACGCGTTTATGTGAGATAAGTGATAGTTGTTTAGAAAGAAAGTTGTAATTTATTTTTAAGTATATGTGAATAATTTATGAAACCAATGTGTTAATTTGTTAATTAATTGTGCTGAATAGCTGAAATTAAAATGATTTTAAAAATTAAAAATCTCTCTCTCTCTCGCTCAATTCAATTCCATTCAAAAGAGCTTAATTGACATGACTTATAAAGTATTTCCAAAGCATTGCAGATTACATACCATGAATAAAATTGATACATAACTATGAATACATTCGTAAAGTGATTATATAATACTTGCACACACACACACACTAGAATTCGAAATTTGATAAATGCATACACAAAGGCTAAAATGATTTTTTAAAAGATATAATGAAAGAAAAAAAAATCTTAATAATAAAATACAATACACAAATGTACATTCCTGCAGATGGTTTGTGGTAATGTTTCTCTTGCTCTCTCAATTAAGTTCAGTTCAGTTCAAAATTCAAGTACTGGATATACTTTAGAAACAATAAATAAAATAGTGAAACGATTATATAATACATATATTCAGACACACAACAACAACAAACAATTGAAACTTTGATAAATACATAAACAAAACTAACCATTAAAAGAGATAATATCCTAAAAAATATCCTAATAATAAAATACATTACACAATTCTGCATTCATGCAGATAGTTTGTAGTAATGTTTCTGACTAGTTCTTTCTCTCAACACAGGAAGCTCTGAGTCCCATTTTGGGTGGTGGTGAAGATACAGCAGGTCCACATCAACATGAGACACAGGCAGCCTCTGTGACGGCCAGCTGCGCGTCTGGAATACAAGTCATCTAATTACGTGGAAAAGATGGCCACCGACCGCCAGCAAACAAACAGAGTCCCTCTCACCTGTCGCCTGACCTACTTTACCATGGAAAACACTGCTGGGCTGCTGTAAAGTATGTTATTTTATGGGCCGAAGCGGGTTTATTTTAGTTATACAATTAGGGGACTTAAGGGACACGGCATCGTAAATCAGACTTTACCGTAGATATGTACTGGCTCATTGGCCCATTTTACCTTAGTCCAACTTAATTGAATATGTTAACTTGAAGCTTAAAGAAAAGATCGAAGATGAAGATATTTATCTATGAAGATATTTAGCTGTAAATTGAATTCATTTTTGTGGGTATATCTCAAAAGCTCTGTGAAAAAAAACATATTCCCCTGAAAGAAAGAAAGAAAGAAAGAGGAAGGAAGGAAGGAAACAAACAAACAAACAAACAAACAAACAAACAAACAAACAAAGAAAGAGAAAGAAAGAAAGATAAAGTCTAAACCAGGGGTCACCAATCTCGGTCCTGGAGGGCTGGTGTCCCTGCAGGGTTTAGCTCCAACTTGCCTCAACACACCTGCCTGGATGTTTAAAGTATACCTAGTAAGATCTTAATTAACTTGTTCAGGTGTGTTGTATTAGGGTTGGAGCTAAAACCAGCAGGACACCGGCACTCCAGAAACACGTTTGGGGACCACTGGTCTAAATGATTATATATATATATATATATATATATATATATATATATATATATATATATATATATATGAGCAATATAACGCCTGTAGCCAGTGTTGCCGGATTGTGCAGTTTTGAATATGACCACATCACACCAGTACTGCGCTCTCTACACTGGTTGCCTGTGCACTATCGTGTAACTTTTAAAATTCTTCTCCTGGTTTTAAAATCTCTAAATGGCTTAACTCCTTCCTACCTGTCAGACCTGTTGACTGAACATCAGCCTGGTCGGTCTCTTCGGTCATCAAACCAGAGACTTTTATACATTCCAAAGTCGAGGCTGAAATGCAGGCATGACCGGGCTTTCGCAGTAGCTGGTCCTACTTTGTGGAATGCTCTGCCCCTCTGTATTAGGTCTATATATATCATCGCTGTCTGTTTTTAAATCTAGGTTGAAAACTTACCTTTTTGATTTGGCGTTTTATCAGTGAGAATTGTTTGTTTTTAGCTATAATAACTATTAGTGAGATTTGGTTGTTTTTACCTATATTAACTATTTGTGAAAATTGTTTGTTTTGGCTATGGTTTTGTACTTGTTCTTTGTGATTTATTGTTCAGCACCTTGGTCAACCTTTGGTTGTGTTTAATGGTGCTATATAAATAAAATTAACATTGACATTGAATATGATTGTATGGGTATAAAATGGCTTAGGCAGGTTAACAAAATTTGGGTGCTTTTGATACACATTTTATATCAAATTTTTTTTATAACAAAACGTATCTATGTGCTCTTACTCGATTTAGTTAGTAGTGACCAAAGCATAGAGCATTCTGCTTTAGCCCACCCCCAAGCAGGTGAAGGAAAGTTGACTCAAAATCCCCGGACAAATCCGACTCCCAGTCCCTGAAGCAGGTTTTCAATCAGGATTAAGTTAACTTGATTAACTTGTGTTGGGACAACATGATGGAAAGTGACGCGTTGGCGCAGTGAATAGCACAAACGCCTCACAGCAAGAAGGTCGCTGGTTCGAACCTCGGATGGGTCAGTTGGAATCTCTGTGTGGAGTTTGCATGTTCTCCCCGTGTTGGCATGGGTTTTCTCGGGTGTTCTGGTTTCCCCCACAAGTCCAAAGACATGCGCTATAGGTGAATTGGGTAGTCTATATTGGCCATAGTGTATTTGTGTAATAAAATGTGTATAGGTGTTTCCCGGTGATGGGTTCCGGCTGGAACAGCATCCGCTGTGTAAAACGTGCTGGATAATTTGGCCGTTCATTTCTGGGCGACCCCAGATTAATAAAGCGATTAAGCTGAAAAGAAAATGAACATGAAGGAATTGTGTGTAATCCAGCATTTTTTAGAGTGTGGGAGTATGTGAATGATGATATTTTATACATTTTTGTTTGATGAAGAAATTAATGTTTGTGTTCATTTCAGATATTAAAGGGTCATGACTCACTTTCGGTTCAGGTGTACCTCAGAATTTTTTCAAAAGATGCATCATAATGGGCGTGGAGCTCCACGAGCAAAGGGCAGGAGTGGGCGTGGCCAGCAGGGGAGAAGGGGAGCGAACAACTGTAGTCAGTCGGCTCACAAAATGAGACCCAAACCGTGAGGAGACGCATGATTTTATAGTTTACAAAGTTTAAATTCAAAGAAATAAACAGTAATTTTGTACTGTAGCTGATAGTGTAGTGTGGTTAAGTTGAATTAATCACTGTGGTACGTCTGATCAAAACGCGACGAAGATGCTTATTGTCTCACTTGGGTTTATTTCCATTAGTATAAGCAGACATATAGTTGGGGTGAAGGTGTGTGTGTGTGTGGTTCTACAGACAAGTAGAAACAAAGAATAATTAACATTCAACCACAGTATACAAATACAATAAACATTTGGTAAACATTAGTTTAAACAATAAATAAATGAGCAGTAACAATAGGTAGAAAGACATTAGATAATATTTAGAAGTACTATTCTTCACTTTATATAGCTTATTATAGCACTTTCTCAACTTTGGTCCGACCGGGGATCGAACCCACGACCGCTTGCAATTCTGACGTCACGCAGTATATCACGTGCGTTAGCATGACTATGCATTTCTTAGCCTACACGGCAACCTCGTTAAATCGTCTAATAACCTTAAACTAAACTCAATGAAAGGCAAATATGCTTCCACTTGATGTAAACAATAAGAATAAACTATATACAGATGTTAATCATGCATTTAGGTAGTATAAAACTGGCTCTTAGGGTGACTTTACAGGACAAAGTAATTAAATAATCAAACTAAACATCTCACGGTGATAACCCTTAAACAACATGATAAATATGATTAAGGAACGAAGAAACTTACATTTAGATGCACGCACACAATTAATAACACCGCTAGAAAAGGAGGACGTTTCTCATGTGCTCCATGCTCTGCAGACTATTACCGACTGACACACGTATGGTAAACTTTCTGGAACATTCTAAACATACTCAGTCTTTCCACAAGGGGGCAGCAACAGTCCACAGTCCTTAAGAAGGGTGAATAAAGAGCCCTTTGCAACAGCCGCCCCCAAATTTGCACAGTCAAATTTGCTTATTCAGAAGGGCTCGAAACTGTGCCCATGTCTGGGAGTGCTGGTAGCTTAATGAGGCGTGCTACAGGTCTGACATATGTTCTGTCCCTAATTCTGACCTCAGCAGTTCTGATTCGTCCATCCGCACTGGGGAAAACATTAATTATCTTGCCTACAGGCCAGAGGGCTCTAGGTAACTGTGGGTCCACAATCATGACGATCATATCTGGCTGCCATTGGTCTCTTTCTCTCTGCCATTTTCCACGGATTTGTAGGCTGGGTAGGTAGTGCTTTGTGAAGTGCATCCAGAACTGATCCGCGAGCACTTGCGAGTGTCTCCACCTTCGGCGGCTTAAGAGCTCTGTTTCATGGTAAACTGTTTGCGGGAGTGAAGGGTCTAGCCGCCCCATCAGAAGAATGTTTGGAGTCACCGGGTTGGGGTCAGCAATGTCCGTGGACACATAACCCAGAGGTTTTGAATTCAGTATTCCTTCTATTTCAGTGAGAACAGTGTTCAAGACTTCTTCAGTCATGCTTTGTCTTTGTACAGTGGCATACAGGGCAGACTTGACCGATCTAATCTCGCGTTCCCATACTCCTCCAAAATGGGGACTACCGGGAGGGTTGAATCGAAATTTAATTTGTTGTTTAGCAAGCTCTTTCTGCAGTGTGGGACACATTGATGTGAATGACTGTTGGAGCTCCCTTTCTCCTCCTTTAAAGTTTGTGCCTTGATCTGATAATAGCTCTGAAGGTTTTCCTCGTCGGGATATGAAGCGCCTTAGTGACATCAGAAATGAATCAGTATCAAGACTACTTAGTAGGTCGATGTGAACAGCACGGGTTGTCAGACATTTGAACAAGATGCCCCAACGTTTTTCACTTCTTCTGCCTAGTTTAACAGTAAAGGGGCCAAAACAGTCCATTCCTGTAGAGAAGAATGGTGGTTTGAAAATCTGAAGTCTGGCTTGTGGGAGATCTGCCATCTGAGGCACTGTTGGTTTAGCTCGCCACCTTTGACAATCAGGACATAAGTGTTGTAGCCGTTTAACTGCTTCTCTACCGCGTAAAATCCAATATTTACGGCGGATCTCTGCAAAGACCCGTTCCGCCCCAGGGTGATGAAGCTCTTTGTCTATGTTCTGAATGAGAAGTTGGGTAATTTTGTGAGATGGATCAAGAACAATTGGGTGAACAGCATCTGCATCTAATTGAACACTGCGGCGTAGTCTCCCACCCACTCGGATGAGCTCAACTGTGCTGTCATATTCAGGTGCTAATGTTATGAGGCGGCTAGAGGATGGTACTGGTTTACCGGCGACTAGGGCATTGATGTCATCAGGGAAGCAGTCAATTTGAACCTTTCGTAAGATATTTCTTTCGGCTGACTGATAATCCACGGCTGAAAGATCTCCATCTTTACCTGCCGCCCCGTGCAGAAGTAGTGCTGTCGCTTCAACTAAGGCTTTAAAGCAGCTAAACTGTTGCGGATCAGGCAATGGCTGTACATCGACTGTTACGTGACTACAGAAAGTGGGCTTCTTTAATTCGGCAGGATTTTCCTTTGCATTTATGTCAGGGATAACAGGCCAGTAGCAAGGTGAGTTCCACAAATATTCCGGTCCTTGTCTCCAGGTTTTGTCTGTAGCTAGCTCCTTCAGAGTTTTCCCGTGAGTGATATAATCAGCTGGATTATTGTTGGATTCCACGTAACGCCAGGCATGTGCACTTGTAAGTTCCTGTATTTCGGCAATTCTGGTGCCTACAAATACTTTGTAACGGCAGGATTCTGACTGAAGCCATGTTAGGACAGTGGTAGAATCAGTCCAGAGTACAAAGGATTCGATGGGTAGAGTGAGCTCTTTAGCTAATAGTGAAGCCAATTGGGCACCTGTGAGAGCTGCACAAAGTTCCAGTCGAGGCACAGATAACTGGCGTTTAGGGGCTACTCTTGACCTGGCTGTGAGGAACGCTACCTCAACATTTCCCTTTAGATCCTCTGAGCGCAAGTATGCTACAGATCCGTATGCCCGCTCAGAGGCATCACTGAAGATATGCACTTGTCGCTTACAGTTCAGGGAATCCAACTGGGAACTCACATAGCAGCGTGGCAGTGTCAGTTGGGAAAGATGCTGAAGTTCCCCTTGCCAATCATG